GTGCTTATAATTATGAGGCTGATCATTGTTTCACAGAATAAATAAAAAGAAATCTACATCTAGACTAATGATAGTAAAATTGAGTAGGAGCTCTTAAAATCATCCAGAAATAAAAGACAGGAAGAGTGGTTAGATTGGAAACTATTTCTCAACAGTAACCACGGAAGTTAGAATACAATGTGTTGAAAGAAAAGAAAATAACTGCTAAACTGTAATTCTGAAATCAGCATCTTTCAAGAATATGGGTGAAATAAAGGCATTGTCAGAGAAACAAATGATGAAAGAATTTGCCACCAGCAAGCCTAAAAGAGGGTCCTTAAACAGAAGGAAGTCTGAGGTATAAGAAGGAATGAGGTAAAGAAGGAAGAAGAGCAAAGAAAGTAGCAAATTTGTGGGCGAGGATAAAAGAACATTGACTGTTAAAGTATTTGTGGGATTGAAACAAACAAACAAAAATTATAAAAGAGGCCCCTTACGTCCTCCACCATGTGAAGACACAACAGAAGTTACCATCTAGGAACCAGAAAGTGGACCTTCACCAAACACTCGGTTTTCTGGCACCTTGATCTTGGACCGCCCAGCTTCCAAAACTGCGAGAAATAAATTTCTATTGTTTATAAGCAAAAAAAAAGGATTTCTCTATAGTCAGCCCCAGAATACAGAATAGAAAGTAGAACAGCTTTCTAGCTTTTCAGTTAGACTTGAATGTTTTGAATTTTCAGATTTTGAGACATTCATATTCAATGTAAATATTAAATGCATTGTGTACCAAAACAGAATTTCTCTTATCCATTACTTTGAATTATATATTGTACCCCATTGCTTTTTATTAGTCAGCAATGAACAAATGCCTTCATTATTAACATATTAATTATATACTTTCCCTTCCTATTTTTATCTTGAAAATTTTACCAAAATTTTGATAGGCTAACAAAATATACTCCCAATTCCTTTCAAAATTATTTTCAAAATTGTCATACTTTAAAATTTTCTTTCATAATATAATACTAAAGAAAACAGTAATTTGTGGGTAGATTGTACTCTTCAGCAGCAGAGCCTGTTCAACTCAATCAATCTTAAGATAATATTAACCAGATTACTGTAGAAATGATTATTTTCTTAGTAAACACTTTTTAAAGTTAATAACATTATCAAGTGAAAGTTTTGAGTTACAGAACACTTCAGAAACAGGAAGGTTCTTCTTACCTGTTCCCCTCCTCATAGCCACTCATCCCCACCCCACACTGCTTCCCTGAAGTCATTTCTCTTAATTGTTTGGCTAGGCAGGCTTCCAGACTTTTTATCTACATATTTTCAAAGATAGGCATGGTTCTGTTTGTGATTACCATGATTAACTTTGTGAGTGATTAAGTTTGTTTTTATTTCACATAATGTTCTATGCATTGCTTTATTGACTTCATCTATCTTTAGATCCTTCCATATCAATATATACATATCAGTTTTATTCTAAAGTGACGTATTGAATAGAACAGATATGCCATATTTTACTTGACCACCCCTATAGTCAGATGTTAATATAGTCAAATTTTAAAATATTTGGTGCAAAAGACCTCATTTCTAGCATAAATTGTAGAAAAGTAACTTTTATGCTCTGAAAATACATGCCAGTCCATAGAAGGGAATTGACCTAATTTGACTGCCTTTCCTTTATCCTTTTTTAGATGCTTGGTTCAGCATAG